ACTTCATTTAATTGATAGTTAGATTAAATCAATAAATCCACATTTTCTCCTATGGATAATCAATTTGGCTGATCTTCTGATCACATGATCACATTTGCCTGTTTTCTTCAGTCCTGAATAAAAGATAAGTTTTGCTCCAAAGTTAATTCTGGACATTCAGCAGTTGTCAAAACAATTTTACCTAAAGATCCATTCACCAGATGTTCTGGAGCTTTCCATCACATCTCTTGACCTTCATTCAGCTTCATTCAGTTTAAATTTACGTAAATAAAATCCTTAAAGAGTCCTCTCAGTTTTTCCTTACCCAGATAAAAGGTGTAGGGACAGAGGTTGTCTGTAGTGTCCACATTGTAACACTTACTTGACTTGATTAACATGAGCATGAACATCAGTATGCTCCAATGGATTCAGTCAATAATCTGTACATTTTTACCTGCAAATAACATTAAAAAAGTGGCAGTTCAGAATTAAAATAGAGTGTAGAGACTAAAATAATTACATAAATAAGTTTCCATCGTGGATCAGCTGTTTAATGATCAGCAGGACTGAAGCTACCTGAGACAATCTGAGGGAAGATCCTGACGTCTGATTTATGTTTGTTGAGCATCTTTTGGCATCAGCTGCCAGTCTCTCTCTCTCTCTTCGAACGCAGACGGAGAGAATACGACCAAAAAAGCAGAATATGACAACTAAAAACTTTTGCGAGAAAAATGCTAACTGATACACAAAAGAGACGAACAGAAGACGCGATGTTACTAGTGGCTCAGCTACTGTAGAAGATTCGTACAAATACACATGCCATGCTCGCAATACCCAGCTTATTAGTACAAAAAGGCACAATAGAAAAGTGACAAAAAACTGATAATATGCTCAGCGCATCAAGGGTCTATCATAACGCCACTCCGTGAGAAAAGATGCTATCAAAGTCCAAGAAACATGACAGTGGGTGTCTCAAAGTACGCTGACTACCGCATCATGTTGCATGGTCTATATAAGATAAACTCAGAAGTTACCTCGCAATGTGATATCTTTGAGAAATACAATTTCAAAATCACGTACTTATATAGGTTAAGTCTACTAGCCCTTCATGTAATCTCTTGATTCAAGTTCTGACACTAGGACCACATTTTAAGAGTAAAATGTAATATGCATTAGCCAACTATGTAGATCTGTCATGGAATACAAAAGTGTCTAGCCCAAGCAACCCTGTAATTTGATATTTATCTAGTGTGTGTAGGAATAATAATGACCATCGTCTCTATTTCTAATCGCAGGACCCGTAGATTCCCAATACTCCAATGTAATCCAAATGCTAACCTCTCGATGCTACTCATCCTACCTGCATAGTCCCTATCAACACATGAATCAGATGCATGCTATGATGCCTCGATGTACCCAATATCTGATTATTTAAACACACTAATTAACAGTGAATGCATCCACGCCTAGTTGAGATAAAGCGCAACACAAGAGACTACAACATTAGCCATGCGACGTGGCTATCCTCACTCCTACAATATTGACAGCGGAATGAATGTCACCTACTATCACTCACTCTACTTAAAGCCCGTGCTGAACATCACGTATAACTCAAATGAGCATTGATGACAATGAACTGGAGAGAGGCTGCTGTCTAAACTACAATTGCAGCGGCCCTCAACCATCACGTCATAGGAACCTAGTGAAGATTCCATGATGAGCAATGCTACCAGATACCGGAGAAATATGCTAGTTAACTAAGCCGACCGGTACAATATCTCCTCGTAACCCATTAGTTTCCCCCAAGCAGAAATCCCCAAACCGTCCTATCTTTCACTTTCAAAACTCACCCGTCACAATACAAGATATTCCCAGTGAAGTTTAGACCGATAACACCGGGAAACGAAGAGATCGAAAACCAAAAACAACATAGAAATCCTAAAAAGCATGTGTGTTAATCTCCTGCTGCTCCTGGAACCACACAATTTTAGGGTTGAGTCAGGACCTTCAGCAGACAGTCCAAGCCACTTGCTGTCTTTCCCATTGACTCTCCTGCGTGTTCTGCCCGCCTTTTTCCAAAATATTAGTTGAAGAAACTCTTGGTCAACATTCTTGTAATTTATGAATCTTTTATTCGATGCGAAATCGTCTGATAAGAAAAAGTTTAAGCAAAGGTGTAGAATTGAATGTGATCCAGAAGATCCAGCCAAATTGTAGTCCATCAAGGCTAAGCAATGTGACATATGTGTCGCCAGTTTTAATCGCTCCGTGTTGAATGGCAGCTCATATCGATCGAATTTTTAGTCTCTCTGCCTCCCAAGACAAGACAGACAGTGCTTTCCTCCTTCTTGGTGTCCAAAGATATGTTAATCTGTTCCTTTATTTGAATATCCTTAACTTGAAGATAGCTAGAGACTTATACACCTATAGCAAGGAAGAATGAGGTCCAATCAGAAGTCGTAGAATGCCCTATGCCAATTAATTCTACTCTTTTCTGACATGATTAATATGGGCATCTAATGTACATGAAGGTTGTCCCAGCTGGTGTATCACAGATTCATTTTTGTGTTTCTAGTGCGCAGTATAAATGCTGCTGACCCATTTGTGTCCCCTCCTCAGTCCTGCTGATAAAGAAAACGACAAGCCAATCTTCCTAGGTTGCACTAACATATTAACAAAATAATCCCTTCAGTGGATAAATATTATGTTGTAATCATTATGTGCGTCAATTGTATGAGGTCATTAGGTAAATGGAAATTATGCAACCCGACAATTGCTACGAAGCGTGTAAGCTGCCTAGAACAACGTAATCCAACGGGAAACACAGGTTCTCTATATCCACAGGCCACCATGAAAATAATCGCAAGTAGAATTATTAATTGAAGGAGAGAGGATCATCTCTTTGAATCTCACCTCTTAGATCCACATTCTGGATGAGCGGTAGGCCCGTGCAACCCATATAATTTCCTAAGACCACCGATTTGAGACCTGTTTTTATGTAAGCCTCCAATGTAAGCTATATACATTAGACTGGAGATTCATACGGCACAGAGAAACACTGAAACAAAAACACTACCCAACAGTCTAATTTCCGAGATGACTGGTCAGTCTTACTAAACACGCAGTCCCACCTAGGCGATAGTCCCGTCTTAAGTCCAGTTGTCGTTGTTACGAGAGATTCATAATATACCAGCGGAAGAGGAGGGATGGCATAGGAGGCGAGTGAAGGAAAAGCAGGCATGGGTAACATGCAAGCACATCAGATATAGATTAGTATTTACCACCACCAACCATTAAGAAACCACCATTGTAAGGGTTATTTACGTAGTTTTGTACATTAGTTGATGGGAGAGTCATGATAATTCCTCTCAATCCATATGGGACATGCAGTTCTGTTGGTGATATGCTCGTGTTCGGAGGCAGCAGATGGCGCCCCATTATTAGATGTTGGGAAGGTGTAGGCCATATTCAGTCCAACCAGCTGACGTACCTAAATCTAAAATCTGTAACAAAAAACTACAAACATCAACCTGCCCCCCTGTAGACCTGTGAATTTTTCGTGGTGTAGTCTGTAACACTCAGGAATTCACTGTCAGCGACAGTCCACCAACCATAATATCTCATTGCAACCCCCTAAGGCTGCATATCCAACCTGCCTTGGTTGTAAAGGACCCGTTGAAAACTAGACCCTCCCCCGCCACGGAAGCAGCCCTTTGCAACTCCACCAACCCGTGAAAAAAAAACTGATATGCTGGAAATATTTGTCCTGGGTCTGTGGTCCCATTTCCCCAAAGCAGTTTGCGGAGGCAAGAAAAATGTGAGAAAAAAAAAAGTAACGTGAACCCAAAAAAACGGGCAGGTATAGCGCCCCCATCACTAGGTGGCACAAAATAGCGTACCCCACTACACAAAAGTTAATACTTCAACTTAACTAAAAAAAGAATATCCGAAATGAAATCTAAATTAACCAGGCGAGAAAATATAATCCAAAAAACGGTAAAGCTTTGTCACAAATACAAAAATTGCAGCCTACAAATACACTGTGAATATAACATACCTTCAATCACTAACTGATAACAATTCTACAACAATATCACTATGTCTTCTCAGAATTAATTGACCTGCTGGACGACAAACCAAGAAAGTGAATTTTTCTCATCATGCCAATATATAGATATAGGCAGAA